GAGCAGGGTTAAATTAACTCTAGACTTAAACTGCTGTAAATACTGGCTTAGAGTATGAATGTGATAATGTACAGAAGCTTCTTCAAACTGAGAAATTTTTAGGCTTATGATCCTACCTAAGAGCTTCAGAGAGATTTGGCTGAAGCCTGGATCTGGTACCTCTTGTGGTTTCGAAGGGAGTTCTGGCATGGAGGGAGAAAACCTTTAAAGCGTTTACAAGTCTTCTAATGCAATGCGACCTGGTAAGATCCTGCTTTCTTGCGTGGGCCTCCTGTTCTAGCTGCGGTGCCATTTCCTCCTCAATTTCTCCTAGTACAGAACTTTGCCAAAACCTTATGGAAATTGAAGGGCATTTCTGGCATATATTTTTTGTCCAAACTAAGTATTCTTTCCAATAATAATACTAGTGTGTCATCCTTAAAATGTGTGGGAAGGATCTGCCAGAACTCCATCTAGTTAATTTTTCTAAACAACTCTAGGGCATCAGTAGATCAGCCTGGGGCTTTGTTGTTTCCCTTTCAGTTGACCTCCAGTTACAGATGCAGAAGAGATGTTGAGTGCCCTGAGCGCAAACAATAGTCATTCTTTTCTGCGATGGGAAAGAAATGCAAGTGAACTACCGCAAGATTTATCAGTGAAAGAAGTTGTTTAAAATATGCCTATTGCTGTATTTCAGCCCTTCAGGGTATACTCTGCAATAATGTCAGCTGAAATTGTTATAGTAAGCAAATACAGTTTCTGTAAACCGTGGGCTTCTGTATTACATTGCTGGGGCATTTTGTGAAAGCTCTGTGTGGAGGGCCGCTGTCTTCACTCATGCCTGGACCTTGTGGTCAGTGCTGCCTTGGTAGTTCTGAGTTCAGTTTTGTGTTGGAGGTGGGTTGGGATGGGAGATGGTAAGTGGGGCAGACACAAAGATGATGTGTCATAAAAATACTACAGCTACTGCAGTTCTTTCCTTTTTTTATTTTTTTTATTTTTTTTTATTTTTTCTTTTCTTGAACCCTGTGGGCTTGTTACACCTGAAAGAAATGCAATTATGTACCTTAGATAACAACAACAAAAAAGCCTTCCTTTTTTTCCTATAGGCTATTTGTGGCCTATGTTGACAAGTGTGGTAAACAAAAATATCTGTATACAGTCATTCATAGGTGACACACAAAACTGGGAAGCCATTACCATAGTAGAAATAAGAGGAGTCTCTTTGGAACCAGTGGGTTAGGGCCAGGGTTTAGAAGGGAGCAGAGGCTACAGCTCCAGTTGAAGTGGTGCTTGGCAGGGATTCAATTTAGCTTTCTGTAAGAAGACTAAAATGAAATTAAATTACCCAGTGTAATATTCATCTCAGAATTTTAGAAACTAAAAATCTTGTGGAATCTGTAATTGTTGCAGGTTTGCCACTGGATTCATGGTTTTGTACTCTGGAGCTCTGTGTCACACGAGGACGCTGTGAGGTTGAGTATCTCATGGTTGCACTGAGGCGAGTGCCTGAGGTCACCGCAGCCGTGGCTGTTCCCGTGTTTGTGTAGATTTAAAACAGAAAGGAGAGGGGAGCGAGTTTTGTTTCCTATTGTGCAGGACTTGCTGTTATGATCTGACCTGAAGAAGTTCCCGTTAGGTAAACTAATAGAGAAATAGCCCCTTTGAAGCATAAGCATATAAAGCATTTCAGTGTTCGCTGTTCATGGGGAATGAGAAAGGTCTCCCCAAAAAGTACCCTTACCAGAGCTAAGTAAATCCATTTTAATCTTGGGGAGTGAAAAATTTAGGAAACTTGAGTGTCTGAACAGCACAGAGGCGAGGGTGCAGTATGTCACCTGAATTCTAACCTTTCTATATAAGCTTTGTAATAGGCTTTAAAAGCATTTAAAAAGTGGATTTTTTATCTGTGAATTTTATATCTACACACACACATGTATGTAAGCCTTTTGCAGTGCAGGTATAATACCTTGTGTTTTTCTTTCCATGCATTTTCCTTCCTTTACATTAAGTAGTTTCTTTTTTCTTTTCTTTCTTTCTTTTTCTTTTTTTAAACATGCCAGATTCTAAAGTCAGGGAGAAACCAAATTTTTCTTTTTTAACTAATAGCACAAGCTGCCTTAGCTGCCACTTGGAAGTTGTATCAGTCATCTCTAAAGGTCACAAAAGTAGGCACCCAATATATAAAAGCAAAAAAAAAATCTAAATAGAGATATCTACTTTCTCAATGTTATTTTGTAAAACTTGTAGGATTTTAGAATGAGTTGCTACATACTGTTTGTGTAAACTTCAGTGCATTGTGTGGCTGCTCTATGTACTGTGGAGAAAAAAGTCCAGTCAGTAAAAGCCAGCAGGAGTAGCTTATCCATGAAAACACAGAAATTTGTGAAAATTGGTTTTCTCTGCTAGCCAAGAATTAGAAAACACTTTTTTTCTTGTCATGACAAATAATACAAGTTAATGAAAAACAGCATTGTGAAATTATTTCCTCATTGAAACATATACCCAGTATATGCATGATATAATACTACTAGTAAACAACTTTAAGATTATTTGTATTTTTAATAGATTTTAATGTGTATATATAGATTATATGTATGAGTGAGAAAATGCTCTGAGTGAGAAAATCCCCATGTAAATTACTTTTTGGCAAAATGTCAATGAAAACAGTGATTCCTTTTATACCACCTCAGTCTCTGGGGAGGAATCTCTTGTGCGTGCTTGGAAGGGCACAGAACGGAGTCCCTTTCATGCGGAGAGCTTGATGGAAAGTGCAAGATGGAAAATAACAATAAAGAAACTTCAGAGAATGGTATAATTCCTTTTCCTCTTTTTTTTTTTTCCCCATGTAAATTAGCTGTGAGCGTATGTGCAATATAACTGTATCTTCATTCTTTACATTGCAAAAAGAGTTAAGTAACTATTGAATATACGGTCATGTTTTTAAAGTGCATTTTTGGAAGCTTTCAGTCCAAAACAGTATTCTATACAGAACTTGAGTATTTTTTTTTTTTTAGCACAAGGCATTTCTGTTGGGAATTTCCACTTGTTTTCCTTGATGTCTGTGAAGAAGTTTTTTGCAAGAGTTATTGCTTCAGTAACAAATATTCCTTCTCTAAACATGCTCCGAAGTATCTAGATGTGTGTCTGGATATAGCGCTCTGTTGTTGAAGCTCTAAACCAAATTGTCTGGAATGTAACCACTTGAATGTGAATATTCATGAAATGCTAGTGGTATTGGATGAGCAAATTAAGCAGTGGAAAAATAGTCGTTTGCCAAAAACTGGAGAGTCTTTAGGAGTCAGTAGTAATGTTTTAAAGCAAGAATATTGTGTATCCTCTGTTCTGAGAAAGAGCCTCTGAAATAATCAAATAATCTAATTTTCGTTTAGCAGAAGCCAGATCAAATAACTTCTCCTTATTTTTGTGGGCTGATGCACTTAAAAGGATCTTTGCTTTTTTCTGAGCTGTACAATTGAAGCATTAGGTCTTGTTTTTGTCTTACTGTCTCTGTAGAGAACTGATCTTGCCCTTTCATGGTGACATCAGGGCAAAGTTCCCGCGAGCTTCCTCTGGAAAGGACAGTCCCGGGCTCCCCTGCGCCCTGGTGGCACCTTCTCAGCTCTTCTGCTGTGCGCGCTTAGCTCCATCCAGCCTCTTGCTGCCTCTTGGGTCAGCCTGCTGCTTCTGCTGGGCGCGGGCTGGGCTCTTCTACCCTCGCGCTGCAGAACTGGCTTCCTGGCGCTCAGCTGCTCTGACCTGCTGGGCGGCTGCATGGGCCCATGTCCCGCTGTCCCAACACTTGGTCACGATGTTTTCTCACGCCTGCCTCGGCCTGTCAGTTGCCATGATCAGTGAGTGTTGGGTTGCTCTTTTCTTCCTGTGCTTCTCACCATTGCTAGCTTATGCCTCTCCAAGCGCTCCAGGCAAGCTTCTTTTTATGCTTCGTGAAGAACTGATGAAACCATAAATTGTTCCCTAAGAAAAACGAATCAATTGTGAAGGGTGAACTGTGGGCCTAGTGCTGAGCATGAAGCCTTGCCTCAGCAGCTGGGACTTGCTGCTTTACCTAGACAACTT